CGGATGTGGAGGCTAATCAGTATACTTTGAAGGCATGTGTGGAAAGCATGACGGCGGTCACAAATTTGTCGAACCGGCTGCAGAGTAGGACAAATGAGGTGCAGCATTTAAACTCCCAGCTGGCTCTGCTCCAACGCATGTATAAGGATGCGCGAGCAGAGATAAGTGTGCTTAAGGCGGAAAACAAGGAACTGAAGCGGAAGGCCACCGTGATGTTCCGTTTTGGAGGGCCGCCATATGCTGCAGTGGAGGAGTATGGTGGAGTGATCGTGCCCAATGGAGTGGGAAACACGGAGGCAACACCGGCAAGGGCCGCCCAGGACGGAGGAAAGAAGAAAAGACCTGCAGTAGAGTAGAGAAGGGAAAAGGAAAAAAAAATAAAAAAAATCCCGCCTGTGGATGTGGTCGTGTTGTTGTATTTTGTTTTTTTTTTTTTTTTTTTTTTTTGTAAAATAAAAATGTAATGGAAAAGTATTTGAAAATGGCTGGCTCACTTTCAGTGGAAAAGTGTGTAAAATAAAGAAATAAAAGAGGAAAGTGAGTGCTGGTGTGGTTAATGATGAAAGTTGGGATAAGATAAATTATGTTGAGTCGGTTGGCCATGTGGTGGATTGGGAGAGTGGGTGCAAAGTGAGAGAGAGAGAATGGGTGGAGAGGACACTGCCAAAGCAATAGTCTAGTGTGTAGGTCAAGTTCCTCATTGACTGCCAAAGCAATATGTTTCATGCTTATCACCGTCTCTGCCAATTTCTCAAGGCCCTCATCTTGTTCTTTCATTATTTGTCTTTGAAGACCAACAACGCCGTGTGTGTCCTCCCTTTTTCAAATTCACTTCTCAAAAAACCCTAATACACCTCTTGAATCCCATTCGATCATCATCAATTCCAAACATCACAATCAAACAGATCAATGGCATCTTCGGCAGATTCATGGGTCAGAGAATACAATGAAGCGGTAAAACTTGCAGATGATATCAATGGCATGATTTCTGGGGAATGGACCGGCGAGGCCAGCGTTGGAGAGATCGACCGAGCTGACTGAACCCGTGGCCGGGTCGCAGGTGATGCCGGTCCAGTTGCATGGGGTGGCGTCGCGGTCGTTCCAGTCGGAGAGAACACCGTTCGGGTCGGATCATTGAAAAGTGGGTTTACTAGAAAGGATCAGGATGACATTGAAAAGTTCATTGAAGGAGATCTTGAGGACTTGGGTTCTGATGATGAAGGAACTGCAGAGGAAGGATATACTTTTGATGCAACAAATGACGCCGACATGCAACAAATGACGCCGACATCAGGCATCTTGATTCTTTGCACTTGGTGGAGCTGATTGGGACTTGTGATGAAAAAGGTGAGTCAGAGAAGAATCAACAGTTTGCTGAGGCAGAGCCGAGTACTAAAACTGAGACTCAGAATGCTAGTAGAAAAAGTCCATCTTGAATCAGTGAGAGACCCAGATAGGGTAGAGAGAGAAGGAGAAACAACAGAGCTAGCATGGCTGTGATATAGATTTCTGTTACTGGCATTGCCATAGACATAGAAGAGCGAGAAAGCGCGGGAAACGTGATTCTGAGAGTTCTGCGTCAATTGGTTGAGATCCGGCGGGCGGTCAAGGCAAGGTTGCCGCCCGCCGGAAGGCGAAGAACACCAAGATCTTTAACCTTGCTCTGATACCATGTAAGAATAAATTGAGATGTATATTATTATTGATGTTTTGATATATTACAAGATTGTTATTTTTCTGATGTTTACATTGATTCCTATATATAGGAGATGTGAAGTGGAGATGGAGTGGTGGAGTAGGTGAAGTGGAGGTGGTAGTGGTGGAGTAGGTGAAGTGGAGGTGGTAGTGGTGTAGTGGGTTAGGTTTAGTGGAGTAGGTGAGGTGGTAGTGGTGGTAGGTGATGGTAAATTCTAACAGACACATTTAGTAGCACTTTACATGATGACCTATTAGTCCTCTTTTCTTTTCACTTTTTGGCTATTGAAGTAATTGGATTTGAATTTAATACGGAATGATAGATGACCATATGGAATGATTTTCTTTTTATCGTTTAATTTGTAGGGCATCATGATGATGGGACTGAGAGTTTGTGAATTACTTTCTGCGGTGTTGTTCTGTTGCTTCATGCTCCTTGGGAGATGATTAACTACATGGGTTTGGAAGAGGCAATGCCTTTCAAAGGGATGTAGGCTAACTCTGGTTTGTTTTTACTTTCTTGATCCAGTTCACTTTCACTCAGTTCTTCAAAGATAGTGAGTGTTCAGGATAATATTTCTATGCTACAAATAAGTCCACCATTCCCAACCGTTACAGGATAATGATATATATTTCTATTGTACAATTCAAGCTGTTTAGATTTTTTTTTTCAATCCAGAGGAGGAAAGAAAATGAACAAATGGATTTTATTTCATTCCCACAACTCACAATTATACTTCACATTGTCTATGCATCATATACTTAGATATTGATTACAAAGCAACTAAATTAATGGCTATATTTTTTAATTATGCAGGTGTGTAATTGGCTCTTCGCATTTATTATGTAAATGTTGGTAATTATGTCTTCTCTGCATGTATGTATGTTAGTAATTATACAGGCGTGTTTAATTGTTTTTGAATCTGAATCAAATCTTTTCAGCTGAATGAGTCGGCTAGGATAGACTTGGATATGGCGAAAGCGGTTGAAGAGGGGCATGCCATTGAAGGGAGGGGATGAGATTGGAGTACAGCTCTAGATTGTTTTAGTAATCTAAATTGTCTTATGTTGCTCTGCCATGTGTTCTGAATTTTATGCTTGCCGTCCTTGTACATCCTTCTTCGAATAAGAAAAGATAGTGAAGAATACACAGGAGTCCTTCCAAATCCATAATGGGCTGGTGCTTATTTTGTTTGCATGGATTGATAGAATATCTAATTGCCTTGTACTTTATCTTTTAAAATTTTGTCTGTTAATGTTTGTTAAGTTTCCTATGATTATCGTTTATTTCAAACTGGGATGGTCAACATAGATCAACAGGTTATAGATAAATATTAGAACAATGTTTTTCCTTGATAATAAAGTCCACAAAAACCCTATTCATCTAAGCAGACTATAACAACTATCTATCCATCTCAGCCTGTTAATCTCCAAGGGAACATAGGGTTAATCAATTCTTGTGTATGCCATTTTGCACTGATATTGATATTATTAGCTTCCCTGTGCAGTTTTTCAGGCATCCTACTTTTCTTTTGCTGTTTTTTTTTTCATTTTTTGATTTTTGCTTTTTGGGTGAAGAACTGTTTGTTAAAAATCAAATTACTTCTCTGATTCGCAGATTGCTATGACCCCTTGGATCCAAATGGTAATGTGACAGCTACCTTCGACATTCTCCAATGGACGGTTGATGGCTACGTGGTTAGTATCAAAATTAATAATCTGCTTAGGACTGCTTTAGGATGTTATTTGGGTCAACCATGTTGTCAATTATTTTATGAAATATCTTGCAGCTGTTTTACATTAAAAATTGGTAAGTGTATGTGCATCTTATGAAAATTGATTAATCCCATTATATTATGTTCTACATTTGATGAGTCCATTATTGTTTCTAATTCCATCTAGATAAGTCTACAAACCTCTTGGGTAGAACTCACCTTTGAAAAGAGGCATGCAAGAAAAGGATGCTCAAGAGGCAACCGACGTCCTAGTGGCCCATCATTCCCAGCTAGGTGACCCTATCTCTTAGAAGTTACAACCCTGCACAGGTTGCCCCATCCGTGACTCAACCACTGAGTAGCAACCCATGTGATCCCATACTTGCGTAGGTTAAGTAACAACCCATGAAAGCAACCCATGAAAGCACCCTGTCTTTGGAATCTCTCTCCCAGGTAAATAAACAACAAGCATTGAGTATACACAACTCTGAAGATAACAACAACATGGGTGTGTTCCATGGAGACTTGGACAGATCAGCAGGAGTACAAGTTGCTAGTAGTGCTACTACATCAAAGAGAAGACGAAACGACCTTAATGACAATGACTATGATGCAGCAGAAAGATCCAGTGGAAGTCCTGGAATTGATGATCAAGAGGACCTCCTCCACCTCAATAGCAAAAGGCTTAGGTAAGTATCTCTTATAACTCAGTTACAGTTTACTCCAAATAAAAATGTCATCAACTCACACTCACACTCCCACTCCCACTGCAAATTAGAAAATAAAATTGGAATAGACATAACCCATTTCAAATGAGTCAAAATTGGTCTAATTTCAAATGTACTGTCTAATTCGTTTACACAATAGTAGTAAACTATACTTGTGGTTTTCTAAAATATGTGCACTCCCTATCACCTCTTTCTTCAGTTTTTAGTTTTTTCTCTTTGGTCCCTAAGCATATAATATATATGATGAAGATGAAACATGGTCTTATAGTGTTTAGCAGTGAAACTAATAAAATTGAAATTTGGGATCAAAATGACACATAATGCATACTTTAGGGAAATTTTGTGTATTTTATAATTATTTGGTTAATTATTTAGAGGACCATTTGAAATTAGACCAATTTGACTTGGATTGAAAATTTTATAAATGAAATTGGCAAAATTGAAATTTGAAGGACTAAAGAAACATAGTAAACATACTTTAAGGACTACAACATATGTTTGTCCTTTTTATTTATCTCATTGTAATTGAGAATTTCCCATTTCTCAACCAGCAATTTTTCTTCAATGCTAAACTTTAGGTTATGTTTGGATGACATTGCTAGGAATAAAATCACGTGTCGATGTTATTCAAGTGTTTTGTTTGACTAGGAATTCTCTACGAGAAGATTATGAAATTTTAATTATTATGGCCCCATTTATTTATTTTACTCTTATTGAGGTTATGGATTCGAACTTGAAGGCAACCACTTTATACAATTATTCCTAAAAGTAAATGTAGTTCTTTACCTAATTACGCATTGCTTATATATATATATATATATATGGGTAAATTACACTGACACCCCTTGACATTTATTCCTAAAAGTAAAGTAGTTCAATGTAGCCCCAGATGTATTTGGCATTGAGGAAGATTTGGAAGAGCCAGAGCATATAGTCAGTGTGGGAAACCTGAATTAGTTCAACAAGCAATAGATAGTTGGTAAGTTCCTGATCAATGGTTATGGCTGTGATACACTAATTATTGTTTGCTCAGGCGTACTGTAAGAAAGTGAAAAAGTTGCAGGCATTTTACTTCAATCATCGAGTATTAACTTTATCTAGTCTGGAAAAAAATGAATCAAACCCTTTTTGCACTATTGTATAGCTCTTAAGTTGTTACTTTTATTTGTCATTTAGTGACATAGATTAGAGACACAAAGCATTGTTATTTTAACAAGACGTCATTTTTGAAGATTTTTTATTTTTTATTTTTTGTGTTCAAGGAATGAATCTGATATTTCTATCTTACTTTTTTCTCTGTATTTTGCCAATTATCGTTAGGTAATATACTTATTTTTCTTTTACACATTTCTCTTAACATTCAAACACCTTTTAACAAATAGACCAAAGAATCTTTGTCGTTTAACACTTTATGTGAATATTTTAATAGATGGTGTCACTTTGGGACAACTCTAACTAAGTTTTGAACTAATGTGAAGTAGTTGCTAGATGAACCTACCTGGACTTTGGTTTTTGGCAAGACCTCTCGATATTTTAGCTCCTGAAACCTAGTACATTAGACTGCAGCCATTGGACTTCTTTTGCACAACTATCTTTGCTTGAAGACGAAATGCGGAGGGTAGAAAGAGTAAATGTAAGGCACACGCTTAAAGTTTCATTGCTTCGCAGTTTATTTTACAATAATTTATGTGTATCTGATATCAGTATGTTGAATCTCTTTATAGTTTACAGAATTTGTGACTTTTTGGCTTGCTGTTGTCTATTTTCAAGTTTAAATATTATCTTTATTGCAGATCCAAGGGATTTAACATCATTTTCAAAACGGGTTCAGGCCCAAAAATCACCCCAAAAATCTGAATATCTGGGCATGACTTGCCTTTTAGACATGATGTTACTTGGGTTTCACTGGTTTCTTAACATAGAATTCATAATTTCTTTTATGAGTTACATCTTTTGAATGATATTAGAGACTAGTTTTTCTTGCTTGATATTCTCTGTTAAGGCACGAAAAGGACAAATCACAGCTCATTTATATGACAGTGCTTATTGAATTTTGTTCACAAATAGTATATAATTTTTGATCATCATGCAGGTGGATTCTGTAGTTTACCTTGTTGACGCGTACGACAAAGAGAGATTTGCAGAGGCCAAAAAGGAGCTGGATGCCCTCATCTCAGACGATGCACTTGCAAATGTCCCGTTTCTCATACTTGGGAACAAGATTGACATACCCTATGGATGCCACTGGTGCATGAATGTATATATTGGGAATGTAAAGTTTAGTATGTAGCTTTTACCTTGTTATCTCGCAGACAGTTTTGCTATTTTTTTGGTGGGGAAGGTTAAGTTGATTCTGTTCTTTCTGTGTCTGTCTCTCTTTGTACTTGACACGATTGTAAAGAAATTAAGTTGTGTTGTAATGTTTATGATTGATGGGGAAATGTTCCGATCTTTTGCATTCCATGGCAACTGTGTGTGAAATGTTGTATTTTTGTCCCAAATTCCCAATAGCTTTTGCTAATCAAAGCCCCAAAACTAGTAAGGTCACTCGTGCCCCAGTAAGTTATACTTTTGCTGACTAAATAAAGTAGTCGTTGTATCACCAAGCACATTTGGCGACAAAATAATTAGCCGCTAAAATTATTAATTTTGGCAACCAAAGGATTTGGTCGCGAATAGGTCTATTGCCGACTAAAGTTTTAGTTGCGCAAAACATGTTTGGTCGTGGAATGTGACAATTGGCGACCAAACAATTTGGTCGCGAAATATGACAATTGGCGACTAAAATTTTTGGTCGCGGAATGTCACCATTGGCGACCAAAATTTTTGGTCGTTGAATGTGATAATTGGCAACCAAACTTTTTGGTCGCGAAATGTGTCAATTGGCGACTAAGATATTTGGTCGGCAAAATGTGACTTTTCGCGACCAAAGTGTTTTAGTGACTAAATGAATTAGTCGCGGTAATGATATATTTCGCGACCAAAAATTTAGTCGGCAAATCCGACTTTTCCCAACCAACCAAAATTTTGGTCACGAATTACTTTTGGCAACCAAAGTAGCGAAAAATTGGTCGCGGATAACTTTTGCCGACCAAAAATAGACTTTTAGCGACCAATTTTTTTGTTGCCAAAAGTGTTAATTCTTGTAGTGTAAATCAGTTAGTCTTAAAGCTAACTCAATATCTTTTAACGGATTCATAATCAAAACTTTAATGGAGTAAATTTGATTTTCATAAAAATATCTTCCTTCATTGCTTTCAATTCAATATAATATCATTCAATTATATATGGACAATAATAATCTCATAATCACAATTAATATTCTCAAATATTTAAAAATATCACTCTTAAACTGAATATATAGAAAGCATGTTCACAACTCTAACTTTCAATTATACATAGGCAATTAGTATAATCTCACAAGAATATGCTGCAAATAGACTTTAGCAATATTCTCAGATGTGCCAGAATGTATCGCTATATAAATACTTTTGGGTTGAATATATAGAATACAATCAACATCTTTAAACTTCAATATAATCTTAATTAATTATACATAGGCAATAATTATAATCTCACAACAATGGGCTGCAAATAAACTTTAATAATATTGTTAGATGTTTCAGAATGTATCATCATGTAAATACCTTTGGGCTAAATATATCAGACACATTCTAACACCTATAAACAAGTCAACTAGCAAGAATGATTTATCAAGAAATTATCTCCTTTGGGTAGATAAATTTTTTCAAAAACAATAAAATTTCCCTTACTAGCAGCTCACGCTACCTCTAAAATTAATACACTCAATTAACCCCCTTTGGGTAGGTAATTGAGTGATATAATATTAGAAGAGCTTCCCAGAATCCTTATTGGTAAATCACTTTAAATCTCAATAAGTAACCACTTCGGCAGTATCACCCATATTGATTCAAAAATCTTCCAACTGGGACTACAAAAATAAATATTTGTCCACCTTTAAAACTTTATTTATTTATTAACAATAATGCAATTTGTAACCCATCAAAGCATATATAATATCATATTACAAATCACTACTAAACAGTTACTCAAAAATAATATCTCACGGCCAACCAAAATTTGCATATGAATCTACAAAAATTACACAAAGTGATATACATGATATAGAACTCTTAAACAATCTAATTTTTATGTAAAAATCATAAAAACAAATATGTTTCATATGTTTTGCAAATATTTGATTAGGTAAGATTTGAAATATATATATCAATACAGATTCAATATACACACGTCCATACTTCACAATTTTCGTAAAACAACCAAATCTAAATTACTTTTTTTTATTTTTTTATTTTATAAAACACAATTGGAAGCAAACTATCAATACTCAAACATTATGTACTCGTTACATTGAAAAAGTTTGCTTGAAATTACTAAAGCACAATTTTGAGATGCAAAAGCATCATTCAGTAAAAGAAATATTAATTTATTCCTTATCATTATATAAAATAATTTTACTGAAATAACCTGCCATGATTTTGATTCTAGTATAAACTTGTTCTGATACCACATGTAAGATTATAGGATCTATATACTAGAAATCAAAACACTATGAATATAAGTAACTACTAAAATATAAACTTAGATACATACCGTTTGATTCCGTTATTGTCTTGAGTTTTGCTTCCTTGAAAGAATATGACATTCACAATTGGAAAACCTTACCACCAGATCTTCCCCTTCTTCTCATAATCTTTTTGTTGTCTTTTCAATAGGGCTGACAACCATTTGATCTATATATATATAGTGAAAAATCTAGAAATCCCCTAGATATTGATTTGTGATTATGTAACAATTTTAAGCAGTATATAACAATCCCAATCAAACAATCAAGACAAATCAACACAACGATTTTAACGTGGAAAAAACCACAATTGGACACATCCAACTGTGATTAAAAACCCACGGGCAACAGCCACAAAACAATCCACTAAGAAGATTTAAACGAATTACACAGGTATACTCTCAATTACCTAGCGAATCCACGCCTAATTGAACCAACCTCTATGTGCCTCTTCCAACACGTCTTCACCTCGAAATTGTCTTTACAATGAGTCACCCCGGAATCCACCAAAGCTTCAGGCTCGAATTCTTCAGAATCCACCGAAGAACAACTCTCTGTTTTGTATAGCAAACAAAATCTTTGATGTACTCTCTTTAAACCATGAGTTAAATACTCAATAAAACATCAAAGAAAACTCACAAAGTATCCCCAGATATAAACCCTAGAACCCAAAAAGAAGATCTGGAGTAGTAATCCTAAAATCTAACCCAACACGCGAATTTATAGAATCTGTCCCGCGAACTCCGCTCGAGCGTCCAACAGCCCACTTGAGCGGCTTTAGCAAAATATGCGCGAAATATAACAGAGGTCCGCTCGAGCGCGAAATCACACGTCTCAGTATTTTTACAGGTGACCAAAACTGCTGGAACTAGGAATTCTCCGCTCGAGCGGGGTGATGTCCGCTCGAGCGGACAGGCAACTTGGAATGCATTTTTGCATTTTGCATCGTGGGCGCTGCCCCTCGACCCCGCCGTGGCGCTGCCCCAGACCCGTCAAGGGACGCTGCCCCCTTGACCCCCACGAGCTGACCGGGCAGCTCGATCCCCGTCATAATCAGCGAAGTGGCAATCTTGAAAACATTATTATCACAAACTTCTCTGAAAGGCACAATTCGGGTTGGATTCGCATCTAAACACTCATAGCCTCACTGAAATAAAAGTGCGAAAATAAATACAACTGAAAGGAGTTTTGTCAAACGGGATTGCCAAGAAATAAAACCTAGCATATAGATATATGTAAATCCTAATAAGGATAGGAGACGAACTGAGCCTAAATAAAACAATTACTGGGTCCTCCCATTAAAGAGCCCAAATAACTTAAAACAGGTCTTACACCTCCATATCACATATCCACATAAAATAATATATACACTAAAATGACCATGGCCCAAACTTTATGGATTGCAATAATAATTTTGGGCTTATACCAGTCAATCTATTTGAATCACGTTCAACCCATTTTTCACAAACCAAACAAAATATAGTCAATGTCAGCCTAATTAAGAATAAATTCTTACACATTTGACCTCTTAAATTTCATAATAATGAGGGTCTTGTATACCAAAACATTTTTATGCATAATCATGGTAAATAAGAAGAAGTAAAAACAACGATAGTAATATTTTAATACTTGAATATTGTGTCAATATTAGTGATGGTGGTTTTTTTTAGAACTTTCATCCGACAAGAATACTTCATAACATAATTTTAAAGAATTGAATTGTCTTCAATTCACTTGTCAATTAGACACGTATTCGAGCCTTTTGGGCTCATTACATGCAGGTCTCGTTCTAATAATTAAATTTGTTTATTTTGCAAATTCTAATAAAAATAAATAAACAAATTAATCTCATAATCGTAATGTAAATTGATGGATGATGTTTATCTCATTTCCTAGTGATGTAATTCTGGTAATCTTGTATTTCCTTTTATTTCATCAATATAATTACTTTTTATTGGTAAAAAAAAATTAAAAAAAAGTATCACTTATAAGAGATGAATGCGTTCATATATAAATCAAAATAGAGTCAGTCTATACAGAGTTCTATTCTGACTTTAATTAAGATCACCGTTAGCAAACCGTGTGATTGGTCTCTCAAAAATTAGTCAAGATGCACACAAATTAATCCAAACATCTTAAATTAACAAAACAAATACTATATAGACATAAACCAAAATATCAATAAAATAATCTCTATCACACACATGTAAATCTCTCCCTTTTTTAACTTTCTTTTTTTTTTTATTTATTTAGAGGGCCCCCATTTTTTAAACTTCATGATTAACTTTTATGCAATAGTCATAGGGACCATAATTGAATCTTGATGGTATGATCATAAATGGTGTACGGGGAGGAAATGTCCTTTGTTGTCCGTACTCCTTTCGTCCAAGCTCTGAATCTATCCGATCGCCCTGAGAATACAACGGCGGTGAGCTATCCGGCGATGTGTTGCCGGAAAACCCCTCCGGCGGTTAAGTTAGCACACACTCAGGGAGAGAGAGAGAGGAAAAAAAAAAAGCTGAATGAATGTAAGTTTTTCTCACGAAATAATGTTCCATCCCCAGCATGGGGGGCGCAGTCATACTTATATACTTTCTGCGCTCAACTTTGCACTCATTAGT